TCAGGGCAGGCACTTGGCAGACTCCACTATTTAGGAAACTAAATGAACAAAAGCAAACAAGCAGCTCAGTTTCCTCTTTTCAGAGTTGACTTTTCATCATCATGTGTCCCTAAGCTGGCTCACTGCACGATCAGACAAGAGCTTGTGCTGGCACAGAGGAAGCAACTGGAGCAGGACTGTCCTGTTATGTCAGCTTAACCAAATCACATCCTTCAACAGCCTGAAAAACACATGAGGACCACAGTTTGCATTATGCCTACTTTGCAGAGCATGCTCTGGCTTGCCAAGCCTGTTATCCAGACTCAGCAGCTGTGATGTGCCAGCTCCTCTGGTGCTCCTCACAGAAGAGCAGAGGGGCAGTGCCGATAAATGCCAGTGTTTTGTACCGAAGTGAAGTCAGCATGTTTTTAGCAGCCACAGACCCACTGGTAAAGCAGTGGTAAGTCTCACATCAGCTACAGAACCAACTAGAGGAGAGGGTAAACCTGTGAAGGATGCTATATGGTACAGTTTGTCCAAGCTTTTGCCAGGTTGCTGGGACACTGGCAAGGCCATGAGCCTCATGGTTTGGTGGCAGAAGGTAACACTGCATTTGCAAGGTTGAGCAGGCTGTTTCTGTAAAGCACTTGTCACCATGTGGCACATTTTATTGTATCACTGAACACAGTTCAAGGCCTCAGTAGTAGACATACTGCTGTCACTGAGCAGCTCTGCTCTGCGTATTGCTCAGAAAACACAGGGTTAGTGTAGAAGCACTGTGTGTGCTTTTAGCAGCATTACTGCAGTCTGTATGAGGAGCAAAGGCAGAACACCTAAGGCAGCATTCATAGAAAGGGAAAATAATTTAGCATTACCAGACTTGTTCTAATCCCCATTGAATGCAGAACAGATAAGAATGGAGATCTCGATGGCCATCTACTGGCGAAACCTGAGTTTTTGTTTTAGCATGCAGACTTTTGCATCAGAGAAAAGCACTTGGATGTACTTGAATTGTAAAAACACGTTTTCACATCTAGCTAGAAATAACAAGTTTTATAAATTAACTTAAATGCTCCCATCCAAAAAATGTCTGATTTCATTCATTCCACCCTATGAACACTACTGACTATAGGTGTTGCAGCTGCTTTTGGAAGCAACCAACTATCTCTCAAGATTTATGTTAGTGCAATACTTTCAGTAACAATATAGAAATTACACTGTTTTTGGTAACGATGAGTTGCAAATAAATGTCAAACTGATGAGCCAGAGCCAGAACACAATTTTCTTCTTTGTTATTTTACCTTTCAAACTTGATGTATCAGCAGTAATTGGATATAACCTGCAATTTCCCCGAGATGTTACATATCATGTTGATCCTATTGCTAAACCCCACCTTGAGCTTTGAAGGCTTCCTGAGATCTTGGATGTCAGCAGGAGAGCTGACAGCTCCTCAGGGCACCCTGGCAGCTCACAGCTGCTGATGCTCTTCCAGGTCTTGATTCTGGGCAGTCTGCAAGAGATGTCTGATGTCAAGAGAGGCTACTGCTAAAGATGTTTTTTTTTCTTTAAAGATATTTTCAAAAATTTTTACATTACCTTAAGCATATTGTAAACAGAAAAAAAAAAAAAAGGAAAAAAAAGAATCATTACAAAAAGCAAACAGCTTTGAGTTCCCAATCATTTTCATTCTCAAAGCGTTTATGCTTTGTGATGCCACTGAATAGTAATTCTGAAGCTCTGTAATGACCAGAGCCACCTGGCCAAGCTCAGTGGCCTTCAGCAGGCACAGAACTTGCTTTTGAGGACTTCAGGGCTTTTTTCTGTCTATGCGATCAGTTTAGTTATTTTGTAGAAAATACTCAAGAAAGTGGAGCATTTCAGAGGGTAGTGACGCACTGGAACAGGTGCCCAAGGAAGCTGTGGATGCCCCATCCCTGGAGGCATTCAAGGCCAGGCTGGATGTGTCTCTGGGCAGCCTGGTCTGTGGTTGGCGACCCTGCACATAGCAGGGGGTTGAAACTGGATGATGATAGTGGTCCTTTTCAACGCAGGCTATTCTATGGTTCTGTGTTTTCCCTTTACTGCTCCATGACCAACAAGAAGGACTGAACTGAAAGTCACTGTGAGAGGTACGAACCTCAGGAAGCTCAGCCCATCAGGAGCCCATCTTTATGTTCTTTTTAAGGCTTCCCATGGTGTCTGCAGTTGCACGGTGATAAGGCCTGTACTGGGCTGGCAGTGTCAGGTAGGACCTGGCCCTTTCTCCACCTGTGAGACCAGCACTGTAGGATGCCCCTGCAGCAAAGGGGCTGGAGGAGATCCCCATATGGTATGCGCTCAGCTGTCTCATGTGTGCCTTCTGCTGACCAGCGTGTCACTTAGCCTGCAGTGCTGAAGGAAGGCATGAGGTTATGTTTGCTGTTCCCTGCTGGCGGTAACCTTTCTCCTTGTGTGCACAGCTTGTCAAGGCTGTGGAGCTCATGATGGACAATGGTAATGCACAGCACTTTCTGTGCCTTATTTGGCTATTCCCCTGTCACCTATAACCAGGTAGCCCTGATGCTTCACTTTTTAGAAAAAGGGATTAAAAAAAACCTGAGAAATGGCAGCATGGATTGTGTGGCACCACTGTATTCTACCCTCTCCTGTATAAATCTCTGAGAAAGTGAGAGCAGCATGCAGTGAGGTCACCTTCTGTACGTGACAAGTAGCTTTTTATGAGGTGGCGACTGTTCTCAAGGTTCGTTTTTTTTCTCAGTTCTGGCAGCATTGTAAGCTCGATCCTCCTCCCATTTGAACAAGCTGTATTTTTCAGGATCTGAACACTCAGTTACAAAACAGGCTCTTAAGACAGCTCATAAATCATGCAGCAAAAAAGTGATGCCCAAATATTTATTTTTGCAGCTAAAGATTTTCTGGTCTTGTGTGCTGCACTGTGTACTTTCAGTGTTGAGCTTTAAAATTTGATTTACACATTTGCTTTTTATTTTAGCTGGTGGGATGTTAAAAAGAGAATCTGGGGTACTCTGATAGATCTCAGTGATTCATCTAACTCAAGACTTTTATTTGCCCTGAGATGCAGATGCTTCAGTACAATTCCTTAGCCATTTCTGCAGCAGCTAAACATATCTGTATTCTTGTCACATAGTTAAAGTGCTGATGTGTCTTACTCTCTAGAGGACTCCTTTTTGCTAGTTAATGTTGATATAACGACCCTCTGCCCATTTCATCCTGTACTTCAGAAATCCCCTGTATGCCCATTTACACATATTGTACTTTAGGCAATAATAATTAATCTGAAAAATCTCTTTGCCTGAAGGTGAAGTATAGCTGTATATTAAGTGTTAAGAGAAAAATAAAGTTGTCAGAGAATTCTTCTTTTTTTCAGCAGTGCTTTAAGTTGGAATTCTACTGTAAAAACATTTAGACAAAAAGAAAGAAAGTGCAATTTGGACTGCCACAGTTTGAGACTTAAAGATTTAAAATGCATAAGTTGAAACATCAGCGAAATCACATGCTAGTTGCATGAGATGCCTAAAATTTTAACCCAAAACAATCATCAGCAAACTTCAGAAATCTCTAGAAATGAAGTTTATGCCAGAACAGTTATAGCTGCAACAACAGTGGCTATTGTCACAGATTGAATCTTGGTGTTGACACGGGAGCTTCTCAGCGAATACCTCACTATCGGTATTTCCAGTTCCATTCTTAGTATCTTAGCTTCCCCAGAGGTTCATGCTTCTTTTTGGGAGCACATTCCATTTCCTTCCCTATGATTCATTTTCATTTGACAGTCAGAAGTTATTTCAGGAGCTGAGAACTTCCACGTTGAGAGTTTAAAAGAGCTCGCTGATGTCAATAAACCTGGGAATGTGGTGGAAGTTCCAGAAAGTTGAGGAACGGTAATGTTGTTCACACACTCGAAACAGCTGAGCAAGCTACTATAACTGTAGGTGAGCACAGCCGCTGTGCAGTATAACTGTAATGGAGCTGATAAGGAAATCAATGGGTAAGGATTTATAGGTAGGTAATATAGTTAACAGAGATCAATAAGGGTTTGGTTCATGTACCAACTTGATAATATTCTTGGCACCAGTTTGTCTAGCTCAAGGCAAGTGCATTGTTGTAGCAGAATTTCTTCAAGAATTTGACTCAATGTGTACTGCGTTTATAAACTAAAATAATATGACTTTTAATACTACGTTTTAGTTGCTTAAAATTGGGATAACTGATAGGACATTGGAATAAATGGAGTAAATCTTCTGTGAGTGTATGCATTTTTTTGTGGAAGGTTCCCTGGCCCTGTGCTGCTGCTAAATTCAGTGGTCTGAAAGGAGTTCAGTGGGGCTTTTGAGCAGCCTGGTCTAGAGAGAGGTGTCCCTACTGATAGCAGGGGTGTTGGAACTAGGTGATCTTAAAGGTCCCTTCCATCCCAAACCATTCTGAGCTTCTGTGATTTTTGGGTGATTGAGAAGTGTTAAATAAGGAAATTGAAAAACCACTGCTTCCAGGTGATGAGAATCTCTTGGCAATCTGTATACGAGGACACAATAGATATTTGGCCAAATGTGAGGATTCGTAGCCAAGATCTGGGTACTGGAAACACTTCTTCATAAAAGTTGTCAGAATTTTTACCAATTTAAACATATCAAGGAGAAATCACTGAGTCTTTGTAGAAGATTGTTTAGAAATCAGTGTTCACTGAACTTGGAACTGGACACGTAAAATAGAAATAAAGTCAGGCTGGTTCGTTATTGAGGCATTATTCCAAGGTGTTTTCTCTGGCAATAAGCACCTCTTAATCAAAACTTGAATTATGTAATACTGCAAAATATACTGTCATTCAAACATAAATGATTTCAAAGAGGTGCTGCTGACTGTTACGCAGAAAAGGAAATATTTAACATTTAAGATCAGGTTGCCTTTGGCACAGTGCTTTGCTACTACTCATTTTTTGAGGTCCAAGATATATTTTGTGCTCTTGCTTCATTTTTCCTTTTTCCCTCTGTTCTGTTCTTTAGTTCAATTTCGCCATTCAGTATTGAGAGCACAAGGCGTCAGAGAAGGTCTGAGTCTCCAGACTCCAGGAAGCGGCGCATCCATCGGTGTGACTTCGAGGGATGCAACAAAGTATACACAAAAAGCTCCCACCTGAAAGCTCACCGGAGGACGCACACAGGTAAGGCTCTGCTGGCGCTGGCATTGCGTGGTTCTGTCAAGCCTTTCTGCCTAATTTAGGACCTATTGAACTTGCCATCCTAAGCCAGGAGATAAAAGTCTGAATATAAATAACAGGGATGACTGCAGGTGCATCTGAGCTTTGGCATGGTGGTACAGATCAAAAGCTTGCTTTAGAGTTGGAACTTCCCTATCATTCTCACTTCCCATGTTTTGCTTCTCAGAACAAGCTCTCTTAGCAAAAACTGGACTCTTTTCAGTTGAAAGTTAACAGAAAAGTAGCCTGCGTGGATACATCTAATGTGTTTCAACAACAATGGATGATCGTTGTTTGGGACCAACCAAAGCTATTCAAAATAAAAAAACCTCAAGAAGTGTAGATGTAAATCTTCAGCACCAACTTCTTCACTCAGCAGCCATGCTCCTATTGTACTATTATTTGCTTTTACAGATGAAGCCTTTCAGTGATAAGTGTTGCTAAATACAATTGAATTGTAAATTCAAGAACTCAGAATTTCTTTCTGGATGTTTTCTGATGCATCTATCACATATTGAAAATGGAAGTCAGTCATTTTATGAGAATAGATTGCACTGGATCCTTGTGACATAGATGCAAGAGAGAGGCATCTGCATGAGCTGGATCTCATTCACTGATATAATACGTAATCGATACCTGTTTTTCTTATTGACCCTAAGGGCTGCTTGCTACTACTCTGCATGACAGGCATGTGAGAGTAGCTGAAGCACTGATGTGTAATCGTTGTGATTTTATTGTGGATAAACTCAGGAACAACTCCTTGAGGTCATCTAGAACAATTTAAAAGGTTACCACTGGAATGGCTAAAAAGGCAGTGAACACAATGCTGCTGATCTTAAATTAAATGTATTGATTAATCTGTTCTTAATGTACTTCAACATTCTTGTAACTCCTTGGAGACAAGATGGTGTTTGTCCAGCATTCTAGCACAGTGTTGGTTTTTGCTGAGAACCTGCTGGTGTTTTCTGTGTTGTTGCATAATCTAAATGTTATGAGATACTACTTGAAAAAACAAGTGATGGCTTCTCCATTTCAGATGAAGCCACTTCTTCATCACTCTTTTCAGTACATCTTTTGATTAGCAGGGCTTTCACTGAGAGGAATACTGAGCAAGACTTTGTCTTGATATTTATCACTTAACTCATTCCTGTAAATAGAAAATCCTTTCCTAGAACAGCAGGAATGTTCTGGCTATTTCATTAGTTCTCCTCCAGGCGAATTATTCTGATTTCTTCATGTCTTCCCATTAATGTTTGTGCATTCTCTCAATGTATTATGTTTTGTCTTAATTATTTTTTCTTCTTTCTTCTTTTTTCCCTGTATATTTTGTTGTCTAATGCGTTTTATGTACCCCTATCCTTTGACTTGCACTCTGTCCTTCGCTTTACTTTTTTATCCCACTGTAGCTCTACTCCTCTTTTTCATTCTCTTGTTTCCTAAACTGTTTCCCTATTCTCTAATGATTCTGTAATTCATTAATGATCTCCTGGCTGATAACTCTTGCATATAAAGCACCCAAAATCAATGTTAGGAATTCTGTACTACTGAATGCACTGAGTGCTCAAAACTAGACACAGAAAGCTAAAATGTAGTTGATAATTCCAACTTCTGCAGCTATAACTATCCAGTAGCATGAAGAGAGTTTCTGTACCAAAAGTAATCATAGAATTCATCTATCCAGCTTTGGCTCATCAGCAGTTAAATGTCTAGGCTATGCTATCTGTCTGGAATCTCTGGGTAGTCATAGAAGAGGGATTGGCACCTCTGGGGCACATTATTCCCTCTTCAGGTTGACCCAGGAATTGGCATCTGAAGGTACTTCTCCTTCACTGTTGAATGCAGGAGAAGCTCAGGTACTTGCCTGTTAGCTGGCTGAACTGAGTACCCATCCCAAAAGGCAACTGCCTGAAGTATTTTGGATATTGGTTCATTCCTTCAAGGAGAGAACATTAGGAAAAATAACATCAAATCAAAAACCTTCATTAAATGGTTGATTAGCTGTTAACTGTTCTATCATCTACTCATGCATGCTGCAATATAAGAAGTAAAGTGTAGTCTATAGAGAAGGTGAGCACTGAACTTAGCCAGAGATCCAGTGAGAAAATCTGTATTGTGCTGATAAATCTGTTTTCAGATACTTCTTTGGTCTTGGTAAGAAGCTGCTGTATTTTGACTTCACATATAGCATTGGCCATGAGCATACTCTATGTAGTAATCTCATCTTACATTTTTTATCTTGGCTTGCACTGTTGCTTCAGGCAAAATAAGTTAATTATTCACGTATGACCCACAGTAATTAGTGTGCAGTTTTGGATAGGTATAAATGAATTATGACAGCTAGGCACGCAAGGATGAGCACGTTTGAATAGGAAACTTTCTGAAGAAGGATCACAGAAACTCAGCATTGCATAATCTTGACTTTTTTTTTATACAGGCTGGTTGCACTAACAATTTTTTAACTATGCAGAATGTGTTTGAAAACTAATTTTCTTTTTCATTTACTATATGTGCATATTAAATTCACTCACAGTAACATTTGTTTGGATATCAGAAGAAAAAATATGTGATTTTTTTTGACAGGACAAACAGCATTGATTGGAAAGTAAATTTCTTTTGAATGTACTTAAAAATGGAAGCAAAATGTTATACACAGTACCCATTGCATTCAGTTCTCGTGGAGTCTCCCTTCATTTTCAGGATGCTATCATGTGGCTTCTGAGTACTTCTCAACTTTTCCTTCAAGCTTAGTGCAGTGTGTGGGCACGGAATCCACTGGGGGGCGGCCTTGAATTGTGCATTAGCTCTGAAACTTGGAAACGTGCAAGTGAAACCTGGAATCGTTGGAGCGTTTCATAAATCACAAACACTTGCTATTAAATTTCTCTTTCTAGTATCAGGTTCTTGGTGTTGCTTTGCCAAATCATCAGATAAAGCTATCAGGAGGTATCGGGTGTGATGGAGAGCCTTCTGGGCTCACCATCAATCTTGCAGCACAGGTATATCAACTCTTTCTGCAAGGAGAAAATTGTGAGAAAATGGCTTATCGAGGTTGTGTTGAGTTGGTTTCTTCTTCAGAAAAATATTAATGTGTGTTTCTATAAAGGAATAATCTGAAAAATCAGAAAGTTAGCAGCCTTGAGTTGCATTCCTCGTCTGCGTGTGTCCGTGTTATGTTCAACACAGGCACTCCTATTAGCTCAGGGAGTTAGTGGTGGTAGAGAGCTAGAACTTCCATTCCCTGCAAGCTCAGTACAGCCTGGTGTACTGACTTGTAACTCATCTTCTTTGGTTTGCATCTTTTGCTTTGAAGACAGGGAAAAAAGTGTAGCATTATTTTATGACATGTAACTGCCATTTCAGATCATTTAGGAGGTATTAAAGTTGCTGTTGATGGTTCTAGTAGGGCAGCAGAACATTTCAGACTAAAGCAATACTCATTCTTACCACTGTATTTTCTTTTGGTTTGGTTTGGTTTTGTACCATCAAAATTTACGTCTAAAAATACTTACATTTATCTTAAAGAAATATTTCCTTTTCTACTAGACCTAGTTTGTGAAAGATCTACTGATTCTCTTCCTTTCAGACAGAGGTTATGAAAATCTGCTATGTTTTATATAAATTGAAGAGGCAAATCTTCTGTTGAGAAACTGGCATGGGTTATAAAAATTAGATTTTAATATCTGATCTGTGATGTTGATGCAACTGGAAGTCATGGGACTTCACAGCTGTAAAATTGGCAATAACTATCAAAGATTTCATTGTTTTGGCAAAAAGTATGCAGATATTTTCATGCCATATATTCAAAGATGTATCTCAGCCTTCTCTCTAATTGGCTGCAGATTTCTGAAATGGCAATGAAAAGCTGCAAAGTGCTCAAAAATATTTGCAATCTCCCTGCAATATTTCATGTGATGATTATTTTTTAATTTTTTAATTATCTGTAACTGTAATGAAACTAAGTGAGCTGGAGATGTTGAAGGTGGATGGACAAAGCCACGCGGTTAGGTTAGGGCAAGACAGTAACGTCTCAGGTGACATAATACATCTCAAGTGTATGTGCAAGTCATTTGGAAAATAACACCTATTTATTTCAATGGAAACCACAACAGATATAAAGAGCACAGTTGCATTATTTGATAGAGAAAACTCTCAGCTATAAAACACTATTTTGCAACGTAGTCACCACGATTTGCTATGCATTTTTGCCAGTGATGAACAAGAGTCTGTATGATACACTTGTAAAAATCTGCATGGCCATCCGGAATGTAGTTTGTCTTTTACATCACTCTCCCTACTGCTGAAATGTACTGCCACCACCTCACTGTGCTCACATACACTGTTTACTCACACAAAAGTTCAGCAAGCCTCAAGGAGTTTCAGTGAGTGCACTTTCTTCCGCACAGAGGAATTCAGTGACACACCATTGCTTCAGATGCACTTCCATGTCAGATGCCATTTTGTCAGACTGCCCCCCTGCTGCCATCTGTCACACAGCAACAACATGTAACGGAATATTGGGGGAAAGGTTCAACCTTTGCTGCCATACCACCAACATCTGCTTCTGATGTTGTGAGCCAACATCATAAAATACGAGGTGTTACTTTCAGAACAGACTTTATATTGCTATAATAGTTTCAGTCACATAGTAGTGTAGAATAAAGATTGTGTATGGAAAGATGAGAGATGAAGGAAGTGAGCTTTAAGGGAAGAGGGAGTTTAAGAACAGATACCTGGGATCCTCTAGGCTAAGTGCCATAACATTACAAATGAGTTCTGAAAAAGTGAAAATACCTTTTGGATGGATAACAGTTATCACAAGAAAAACACACAGAGCCATTTCTGTGTGTACTGATTTCAGTTGTTTTGGTGTAAAATGCATTAAATAATAGAAAATGTGAATATAAGAAAATGACAGTTTCTAGCTGCCTGCAGAGATACTGGAGGAAGCCCATCTCTGCACTGCC